GATCAATTGGGAGACTATCACCTTGCCCAAGAAAGCTGGTGGCCTGGGGTTAAAGAAGCTAGAGATCATGAACAATGCTTTTATAGCTAAGAGGGATTGGGAAATTTTCAATGATAAAGGTCAATTATGGGTTCAGGTTGTTAAAGCCAAATATCCAGATGGTAACAGATGATCTTCTCATTTTGAGGAGAAAAGTGGAGATTCGAACTTAAGGAGGAACACTTGCAGAATTTGGAGGAAACTTGAAGAGTTTTTAATTTGGAATTTGGGTGATGGCAAGGATATAAATTTCTGGACTGATAAATGGCTTGATGGAGATAATTTATTACAGGATATGATTTTTCCTGTTGTGACAAATATTGATTTCAACAAGAAGGTTGCTGATATGATCTTGCTGGATGGTAGCTGGAACCTTGAGGTCTTGAAATATTGGCTTCTTCCTAATGTCATCAGCAAGTTGAAAAATACCTTACCTCCTAACAATGATGATGGTCCAGATAAGAAAGCTTGGAGCTTTGTTAACACTCCAACTGTTTCGATCAGGAATATTTATGAGACTCTTTTGTACAGAGGAGCTGTTATGGAAGATAGGAAAGATCTATAGTCAATTTTATGGAGTTGGAATGGTCCTCAGAAATATAAGATCTTAATGTGGAAGATACTTCATGGTAGATTATTAACTATGGATAGAATTGCTCAGTGGGGGGAGGCTACGGATATTTGCCCGATCTGTAATGATGTTAGTGATTCTATACTCCATGCGTTGAGGGATTGTTTTGAGGTCAAATTGGTTTGGAATAGATTATTACCTCCTCATCTGGTCACTGCATTTTTTGATGCCAATCTGGATGTTTTGATTGAGTCTAACTTAAAAGGTTGGAAGAATTCTAATGCTCCTATTAACTAGCTTTCAGTGTTCTCTGTCTTGCTGGAAAAATTGGCAGTGGAGAAATGAAATTTGCCATGGTAGTGCAATTCCTAGTTGGATGAACAGGGAGACCATTATCCGTAATTTGGTCAATGAAATTGATGATGCCTTCACTAAGCCGAATAGCCATCGTCTGGGCAGAAGAATTATCAGCATAAATGTGTCCTGGATTTTTCCTGAAGATGGTTTCATTAAAATTAATACTGATGGAGCATCTCGCGGTAATCCCAGTCCTGCTGCTTGTGGTGGTGTTCTTCGTGATGCTAGTGGAAAATGGCTAAGTGGTTCTGCTTATAAGTTAGGCACTTGTTCTTCTTATAAAACTGAGCTTTGGGGTATTCTTCGCGGATTAGAATTGGCTTGGAATGAAGGTTTTCACAATATTGAATTGGAAAGTGATTCTTTTAGTGCAATCACTATGCTATCCAACCATGGAATAGCAGTCCGTGAGAGTCATCTTGTCTCTCGCATACGGACATGGTTCAAAAAAGATTGGAGGGTTGAGCTTCGTCATACCTACAGAGAAGGAAACATGTGTGCGGACTGGATGGCCAATTTTATTTTGGATAAAGAGGAGGAAGTGGATGTTGTGGTTGTTCGTGAGCCTCCAAATGATATTTTATTTTTGTATTTAGCTGATGGTCTCTTCTGTTGGGAGGGATCGTGCTTTGTTAGTTTCTTTGTGTTTTTGGGCTTCGGCCCTATTATTTACCAAAAAAAAAAATTGTCTCTAAATTAAATAAGTAAATTGTAGGCAAAAATCACGATACAAAAGTAAGTATCTAGTAGGAAAACGGTTTATCACCGCAACATTTTGTGCAAACATTTAAAAAAAAAAAACAGGGCAAATGGGTAAAAGCTTAGGTGCTTTTTGGTAGGCATAATTTTTTTGAAATACTGGAAAAATAGGGTAGAGAAAATTATTTTTTCTTATTTGGTAGGAGAAAGAATGGAAATTCCCCCCCCCCCCCCCCCCCCCGCCTTTTCATATTTGGTAGGAGAAAAAATGGAAATTCCCCCCAACATTTGGTTTTATACTACCAATCTCCATTTGCAAATACCATGGAAGACATGGTATTTTTTTTCCCCAAGTGATGGGAAAGTGAAAGCATATTTTTCTGACCAAAATATCGTGAGCCACATAAACACATCGTTGCTTGTGTGAAAATTGTAACATAGCAGCAACCCCTCTGAAGTAGTAGTAGTTTCCATCATTGCCAAGTTCTTCTTTTTCAAGACCTTGGTGCAGTAGTAGATTAAGCCACTGGCACAACACACGTTAATATTGTCTTGTATTGGCGCAACATGCATTAATCTGGGGCACTAAAACAATGATAGAAAATAACAACATACACCATTTCATCTTTCTCTATGCAAAAAAGTCAAATATTAATACTATTGTTTTCTATTCTATTCAACAAAAGTATTGTATTCAAGAGTGCTTTCTAATCGTGTTTCAAATAATGATAGTTTCCTAAATTCTTCCTATATTTTCAATAATATTTTATCAATAATCAAATATATACACATGAATCTTTAGCCAATATTCTCAGTAATATTTTGACTTACCCAATAGATTTTTGATAATATTCTCGAAAAACTTTTTTCCCTATAATATTCTCAATAATCATGATTTTCGGATAAAAAAAAATTTCTCCTATATCAAACACCTTTAAAGTAGCTTAAGACTATTTCTTTGATCCTTTTTAAGAATTAAGGGTAACCAAAAGCGATCGAGTGCCCAACTTGCCTTACGAAAAGTCATTATTTGCATTACTTCTTCAACAGCTCAGCTTGTCCCTGGCTTATGTTTTGGTGGCATAGCTCAATTCAGCTATAGCTGCAACCAAAAGAAATGGACTTTTATATCCAAGGCAAAGAAATGGCTTTTTGACCCTAATAACCCTTTATTAATAATTAATTACCAAATTGATCTTCATTACAAACTATTTCAAAAATTTAACCCCCTCAAAAAACATAACACCAATCTGCCCCTGTTTGACCGTTGACCACCAAACCTACCCGGGTATTTTTTGAAATTTTTTGTCTATCCAGGTAGGTAGTGGTGTACCCGGGTATTGTTCTTCGCACCTGGGAAATTGCTTGAATTATTTACCAAGGTAGGGAGGAGTGTACCCGGGTAAATCTCCACATCTTCATCTTCGTCTTCTTCAATCTCTCTCTCCCTTAAGTGGGTTTGCTTTGGTCTCACATAAATCAGATTGGTCTTTTCTGTTTCTCCTTCTTTCTCTCTCTCTCAACTGTTGTTCTTAAAAATACTAATTTTGGTGTTGTTCCTGTTTTGGAGTCACCTTTGATTTTGACTGAATTGTTATTTACTTAAAAGTTTTAATTTAAAAGTTTATTTATTTTTTCTGGTAATGATCTTGTAAGGTAGTACGAGGTCTTTAATGGTTCCTCAAGTGATTGAGATTCTTCTATCTTTTTTTCTATTTTCAGACCCAGATCTCGGTTTTTCCCACCCACTATTGCTACTTCAGTAAATTTTTCTAATTTGTATTAATTATTGGCTTGATAATTTCTTTCTAGAACCGGTTCGTTTTTCCATTTTTTTTAATTTTTTATGTTGCTGTTTTGCTTCTCTGCTTTTGTCTTTAATGGATTCCAAAATTTGTTAAAGAAGAGAACTTGTTCTGGGTTTGCATTTGGCTAGTGCTACAGGGAATGCCTATTTTTGTATTCTGCCATAGCTTTTGGTACTTATTTGTTGTTTGTAGTTGAAGAATTACTAAGATTCATCCAAATGTACTGAACTCTGTAGTATCCCTTGGCAAAAATTCATAAACAATTGTTAGTATCCCAACTCGTAGACGAAGATGAAGATGTGGAGATTTACTCGGGTACACTCCTCCCTATCCGGGTAAATTATTCAAGCAATTTCCCAAGTGCGAAGAACAATACCCGGGTACACCACTACCTACCCGGGTAGGTAAAAAATTTCAAAAAATACCCCGGTAGGAAGGGGTGTACCCGGGTAGGCTTAGTGGTCAACGGTCAAACAGAGGCAGATTGGTGTTATATTTTTTGAGAGGGTTAAATTTTTGAAATAGTTTATAACGAAGGCCAATTTGATAATTAATTATTAATAAATAATTATAACTTATAAGGGTAAAAAAAAAGCCAGAAGAAAGAGCAACCAATCTTTTAAGAATAAGAACTTGGAGAGAGTTAAATAAAAAATAGCAACCAACCCCACTTGATCATGGACCCTCCAATCCAAATGTTTGAAGAATTTTACTTTATCAAATTGCCCTTGAAATGTGGATAATCAAAGAAAACAGTGGCATGACACTGGCAGGCTTTGGTTGGAATATGAAGCAAATGGAACTTCATGGAGGGTAACCCAAGGGACCCACTTGAAAAATTATTTTAAATCCAACAAATGAAAGCTCAAATTAGTAATAGAAAGTCCAGAAAAAAAACTGCCAGATACTAGAACCTTTCACTTCAAGTGTGTAGTAGCACTCACACACACACGCACAAAGGAAGGAATACTTGGGAATGCAGTTAGTTTTAGTGAGTGGTTCCTCATATATAAGGTGCTGACGTGGACAAATATGAGACCGTTGGATTAAGGGGTGGCGTAGTATCTTCAGTTGAGGACACGTGCTGTCCCTCTCTCTCTCTCTCTTTACCGCTCTTCTTTTTTTATTTTTTTTTAATCTTTGCTTCCTTGCATGGATTTCTCCTCCAAATATAGTCGAGAGAGAGAGAGAGAGAAACAAACGCTCGCTCGCTCACTATTATTTGTTCTTTTCTCCCTTGGCTTGCTCATCATAACTATCATTAGTAACAAAGGTAAAACACAACACAAAACTCCTCTTAACCTAAGTTTTATTTTTTCCTTCAAAAACTCAGCTTCCAAAGGAAAGAAGCAAGTAGTAGTATTTGGGTTTTGTGCTTGATAATCTGATCTGGGTCTTGCTAGTTTTCCCTTGTGATCCTCTGTTTTTATGAGCACTTGGGTTGATGAGATCGAAAAATTCAGCATTCTTTGATATTCACTGATTCAGCATCGTGATCCGGTGACCCTCTTTTGATTTTGAATCCAATGGAAGAAGATCAAGAACTCAAACACGCGTGCAAGTTCTGCAGCAAGAGCTTCCCTTGTGGTAGATCCTTGGGAGGTCACATGAGGTCTCACGTGATCAATGTTTCAGCTGAGACAGAGGAGAAGTTTGCAACAACGAGGAATCTTTCATCTCTTAACAACAACAATGATGGAGATCACATAGTAAGAGAAGGTTCTGAAGCAGGAACAAATAATGCTGGTTATGGTCTCAGAGAAAACCCCAAGAAAACTTGGAGACTCACAGATTCAAGTGAAGAGACTTTTGTGTTGGACAAGTTCTGCAAAGAGTGTGGTAAAGGGTTTCACTCTTGGAAAGCTTTGTTTGGTCACATGAAGTGCCATTCCGAGAAAGAAAGAGTATCCAATAACAGCTTCGGTGATCAAGATTCATGGACTAAAAATGCTAGCCAATCTGACAATGAAGCCACTGCTCCAAACCGAAGGAAAAGATCCAAGAGAAGAACAAGGTACATGACCCCATCAACTTCTTCTTTGTCCTTTGCTACCAATCCTTCATCTTCTGTTTCTGAGGCTGAGCATGAACAAGAAGAGGTTGCTATGAGCTTGATGATGCTTAGCAGGGATTTGGGTCCTTGGGGTGGTTTGAATTTTGTTGTTGAGTCCTCTCACAATAACTCTTTGCACTTGGAAGCTTCATCTTCTCTTCCCACTAATAACATGGTTTCTAAGATTGATGGCAAGAGGCTTCGCAATTTGGTTTCTTCAAATCTCAACTCCAAAGGTAAAAGTTCAGAACTTTTGGCAACTGAGAGTCCTAGGATGAAGAAAACAAGAGTTTCCATTAATGGGTTCATCAAGAATGGAAAGGATAAGAATTTTGAGATCGATTCTCAGCCTGCATTTGATGCCAATGGAACAGAATTAGTTCTGTCAAACTCGGCTACTAGTAACAAGTACACTCCAATCAAGGCAAAGCTTTTGGATTCTGAATCCAAATCAAGTTCTTTGAAGAATTGTGTAAGAAAGCCTTCAGAAGCTGAATTCAGCAAGAACTCTCATAAGAGAGGCAAGTTCGAGTGTACTACTTGCAACAAAATCTTCCACTCCTACCAAGCTCTTGGAGGCCATAGAGCTAGTCATAAGAAGATCAAAGGTTGCTTTGCTTCAAGAAGTGAAAACAGCATTGAATTTGAAGCAGACCTCTCCCCTGACCCAACAACAACAGAAAGCAAGATCATGAAGAACAACAACATCAATGAATATATGGAAGAACATGAAGTGGCTAGAGAGTCCAAGAAGAACAAAGGGCATGAGTGCCCAATTTGCCTCATGGTTTTTCCATCAGGGCAAGCCTTGGGTGGCCACAAAAGATCTCATTTGGCTGGTGGGTCTGAGAGTAGAAACTTTCAAAGTCAAACACTTGTACTTCAGGAATCAGTCCCAGAAATTAGGGAATTCCTTGATCTTAATTTTCCTGCTACTACAGATGATGAAACCAATAGCAATGTCACCGAGCCTTACAGAACCTGGTGGGCACTTGGAGGTAACCACAAGCAGGAGGAGGCACTCGTTGGCCTCATGTCTAACTAAACTTCATAGTTCATTCCACAAATGATTCAACTTCAGAGTGAAGATTTCAAACTGTATAGAAAAGTTTCTGCATTTATTTCATTAATCTTTACATGATTCATCTCTTCTTTGAGGTATTTCTGATATGCTCATATTCATTGTGTTGCTCATATAAATCATTAAAAAGCCTCCAACACCTTAAGATTTTGGGTTAAAATAATTCTTTACATTCAGTGACTACAAAATCACAAGTTTGATCATCACTGTCTCTCATTTTCGAGTGAAATTAAAATAAGCACAAGATAAATAAAAAAATTTGGGCTTGTGCAATATCACACTTTAAGCCAAAAGGACTCTTGTGTGAAAAAGTGTGTTAGAGAATAATATAAACCATTAAAAGACTCTCCCGTAATATCTTAAAGTTTTGGGTTGAAATGATTCTTTACACCTTCTTCTTCCATAGTTCATAAGAAACTTTTCATTTGTTCTCTTCTTTCTTTCTTTTCTCTAATTTTTTTTTCGGGTGATATATGTTGATTACTTTGTTCATCATCAGAGAATAAGTTCCTATGCTGCAAATTTTAAGCTCATGATTTTGGTTCTCCTTGAAAGTTAAGGAATTGTAACAGATTTTTAACAGTTTGTGTTGTTTTCCCAAGCTTTCCCCCTTGGGAAATTATATAAATGCACTTGTTGTAATGAAATTCCAAAAGCGACATTTTGGTGGGTAATTATCTTTTTTTTGCATCAAAGAGAAATGAATGAGGTGTTGAAAAATTAGGATAGGTACCGGACGTCATTACAAATTACATGAGAAAATAAAAAAGGAAAGATTTTATAATGAACATAAAGAAAGCATCTCTTTATCGCTTTGTGCACTGACCGGGGGCGAGGGATTAGTCTCATAGCTATCGGCGGTGGAGATACCGGATGTAATTCAAAAAAAAGAAAGAAAAGAAAGCATGTGAGCATAAAGGTGGTTGTTTAGTCACCTACCATAAAACCTGAACACCCATCTATTTCTTGTTTCCTTTTCTCAATTGGCACACAACTGGTGTCTTATTAAATCCTTCTCACTAATCACTATGTACTGAGTAGCAAATATCATCACAATAATTCACAAGGGAAGAGGACTGTAACTACGTAAGTTTGTTATAATAGCAGCCTATAACTCGACAATAAGTGCACCTAACTATAAGAAAGAGGGGGACAAAATCTGAGACCTCATAATAGAAAGGGTGAGATGCAAGAGCTGGGACCAATGAAATAAGGCTTAGATGTCTATTTCAAATAAATAAATAAATAATTAATAGAGGAATGCGACTGAATTTTATCATATCTTATTTTAACATAATTATGTCATATAAGAAATATATTTGTACCACCAAACACATGAATTAATTGGTAAAGAATTATTCCAGTTTGAGTACGAGTTCTTAAGAATGCCAATGTGTCAAAATTTAGTAAGGAGAACCCGTTTATATAATACTACCCGACTCGAATCGAATTAATCAAATATTAATGGAGGAATATAAAAAAAAATCAAAATGACTATTATATCTATTTCTTTATGCGAATTTAGGGCTTATCTAGTCTCATGTTGCATAAAAATAATAATTTGATGTCATAGATATATAATGATGACCCATCACTTAAAAAATAAAAAGGAAAAATTTACATGGTTATTGAAAGGTACGTAAAAAATAAAACTTATCTCACGATGAGAATAGTTTTTTCGGCGCATTTATCATTAAAATTATAACTATATGAATAAATAAATGAATGTGTGGGTTCCAACGTGTCATGGCCAAGGAAGCACGGACTCTCCAAAAAATAGGCAGTGTCGTGTGCGACACGCTCCGACACGTCGACACGTTTCGACACGGTGTCCGACACGCGGTCAACATTCCCGACACGTTGACCATTTCGACACGCGAATTTGACTGTATCCGACACGGTCAAATGACATTTTCGTAAAAAAATTATTTTAAAAAAAATTATTTTTTTTAAATTGAAATATATTAATAGATCTTCCACCTGATCATATCAATTTTGTTTTACTTTTCCTTTTTTCCCTTTAAGTAGATAAGAGATCATCTCAGCATCATTGTTGTCAATTCCTATTACGCTCTTGCTGTATCTCTTTCTATCTGATCTCTCTATCTAATATTATATATATATCTCTCATCCCAGTTCCTTTTTTTTTATTAAAGCTTCCACCTTTGTAACGTGTTTATGAGTATTATTAATTTAGTTTTATTTTTTTGTTAAATTATTGAATATTAAATAGAAATATACGCTTTATAAATTAAAAATATTATTTAATATTAAAACGTGTCCCAACGTGTCAAAATTGATATTTTTTTAAAATTGACGTATCGGAGTGTCGTGTCGTGCCACATGTCGTATCGGTGCTACATAGGTCATGGCCAATAAATAGTGACCATTTTGCCACGTTTGGAAAAAAAAATTATCAGACTGCCACGCCAACAGTAAATTTTGCCAAAATGTCACGCGGCATAATTCGCTACACAGTGTAGCGAATTATGCATGCAAGTAATTCGCTACACAGTGTAGCGAAATATGCCACGTCAGAATCAAAAATGCCACATGTCAAATTTTGAGAAATTCGCTACCCTATGTAGTGAATTTCTCAAAATTTGACATGTGGCCTTTTTGATTCTGTGCATTCTGACGTGACATATTTCGCTACACTGTTTAGCGAATTACTTGCATGCATAATTTGCTACACTGTTAGCGAATTATGCCGCGTGACATTTTGACAAAATTTATTGTTGACGTGACAGTCTGGTAATTTTTTTGTCCAAACATGACACTTTAGTCCATGTCCCACTATATTGTGCAGCTTAGAAAACGGCATTTGTTGGGAGAGGAAGAGGGTTTGTTCAGGGGCACGGAATGGGAAAGTCCCCGTTTTTCTTGGCTATATAGTAAGCGGCAGTGGCAGGTGTTGTTATGCTGCTTTGTCAACTAGTACAAGGAACTAACTGCCATCTGCAATCTCAACACTGCACATGTAGTTAGGCACCTGTTCCCAAGGGCATTCTAGTCATAAAAACGATTTTTTTTTTTTTTTTTTTAAATTTCATAATTAAACTTATCTTCAAATTTGTGCCATAAGGCCAAGATAGAGATGGGTTGTCTGCTTGTGCATCAATATCTTTTTTTTTTGTATGACCGTGTACTCGAATTACATGTTTTTATAAACAACTGGATAAGGATTTAGAGTATTTTGTCTATCATAATAAAATTATCCAAGTTAATTATTTGTTAAAAAAACTAAATACATAAATAATTATTGATTTAAGTGATAAGGTACTTGTTCATTTTAATTAGAGGTTTCAAGTTCCAGTTTTAGAAATAGAATTTAGAAATTCTTGTTAATTACCCAAATTCTTGACTGTTTAACTGACTTTTAGTAATTAAAGATTTGTATAACATATATTTACAAAAAAAAAAAAAGAATTGTATAACATACTACCGTTATACATTCTTTTTACATTGTCACATGTGTCTTAACTTTACTTAGCTCCGTTTATAATGAAATTATCTAAATAAATAAACCTGTAAATGAACTTTAATATTACATTATGGCATCGAGATATCAGTCTTACATCATGCTTAGCTTGGCTTAAAGAAATACTGAAAATATAATATATAAAAAAGACAGAAGTCATGAAGAAGTTTCCGGGGGGAACTAAATCATGGTGAAACAAGCTAAAATACTTGGTAGTCAACTTACATCATTAATATAATTATGAAAAAAAGCTAAAATACTTGGTAGTCAACTTATATAATTACAGAGCTAATTGGATTCCTTTACAAGTATGGTTCCCATATAAGTCATGGTGGGATGATTTAATAATGGCATTAATATATATATATATATATATATAGAGTTTATATTTCTGCAGCTATTGTACGTGCAACAATCAAATATTTTGCATATATATACTTGAAAATATTAAATGCGAGAAATCATAACCATACAAAGGATAAAAACATTAAATCTGGGAATCATAACCATACACATGTCGTTGTTGTACGTAAAGCGGCTGCATAAATGATTTTACGCACACACACACACACATATATATATATATAGGGTTCATTTTTTCTGCAGTTACCGCAGATAAATTATCTGCAGTAAGTCCAATATGACATCGTTTTGGGCAGAAATCATGGTGTTTTTGTAATTTTAATTTATTTCAGGGTTATAATAGTCTTTATATTTATAATTTTTTAAGATTTCGAAACCAAAACGCCGTCGTTTTGAGAATAAATGCAGATAACTTATCTGCATTAACTGCAGAAAAAGCGAACCCATATATATATATATATATATATATATATATATAAGGGAAAAATGTTTATCTTTTTAAATGACACAACTTATAACATTTCACTCTTACAAAGAGGTGGGACCCACACCTTTTTTTTGTCCACGCTCTCTCTTCCTTTATCTATATCTTTTTCTCACTTAAAATGACACAATTTTACATCTTTTAAAATGACACATTTTTCCCTATATATATATATATATATTAGTATACTGACCTGAATTATTTCTTTGAGGTGAGTCAACCCTCAGGTATCCCCACAAGCTTCAATTATTTGAGCCGATTACGAGACTAATTTAGAGTCGGAGTTTAGACATAGTTGAAACTCATCGCCCCTCCCCAAAGATTGCATTATAAAATATATTAAACGTTATTCTCACAAATTTTTACGGTGAACTCATGAAAATTATAATAAAATTAAGATATTATTTTAAAACTTAAATATCAGTCAGTAAAGATTTATAAATATTATATATATACAACATGTATTAGAGGTTAATATCTGTTATGGATCTGACATAAAGACCTACATTCTAGAAGACCCAAAAAGGGCTAACAACTAAGAGAAAAATTAAGAAAAGATTCCTTAATTATACTAATTCTAATGCGACATCAATGGGTCAAGAACTAGATCCCTAATATTCCTAAGAGGCCCAGAAG